ATCAGGGACCTGGGGTGCAGCGATGGGTGGCTGGGGGTGGCGGGGCTGGGAACAGCTCTTGCCGCGGTGTGGCCAGTCCTTTACGCGTAGGTTTGACGTTCTCTTCTCGTACTGACCCTGCATACTTGGCAGGACGACTACTTTGTGACGGCCGACCAGCTGTGGGTGCCGCTGCGCTGGATCGCACCCGAGCTCATCGACGAAGTGCACGGCAACCTGCTCATCGTGGACCAGACCAAGTCCAGCAACGTCTGGTGAGCAGGGTCTGGCGGGGGGAAAGGGGGCTGCTGCCAAGCATGGCACGGGCTGGTGGCCGGAGGACGGAGAAGGCACGACGGCAGCCTCAGTGGGATGCATCAGGGTGGCTCGTTTTTGGGGCTGCTGGTCGGTAGCGGGGTGGGGGTCTCCCCGTGCCCCCAGCATCCCGCCCTGCCCGCAGGTCGCTGGGCGTCACCATCTGGGAGCTGTTTGAGCTGGGCAGCCAACCCTACGACCACTACTCCGACCGGCAAGTGCTCGCCTATGCCATCAAGGAGCAGCAGCTCAAGCTGCCCAAGCCCCAGCTGAAGCTCTCGCTGTCAGAGCGCTGGTGAGGACCCGGGCCGGGCTGCGGCCGCATCCTGCCCCCTCCCTCTCCCCGTCCCCAGGCGGGCAGGGGGGGCCGGGGCTGACCCTCGCCCCTTGCCGCGGCAGGTACGAGGTGATGCAGTTCTGCTGGCTGCAGCCGGAACAGCGACCGACAGCGGAGGAGGTGCACCTCCTGCTCTCTTACCTCTGCGCCAAAGGGGCAACGGAAGCAGAGGAGGAGTTCGAGAAGCGCTGGAACTCCATGAAGCCCAACGGCAGCGCCAGCGCCAGCCACCACGGCCCCGAGCTCTCTTCCTTCCCGCTGCTGGAGCAGTTCTCGGCCGACGGCTTCCCCTCGGACGGAGACGACATCCTCACCGTCATGGAGACCAGCCACGGCCTCAATTTCGAGTACAAGTGGGAGCACACCAAGACCGAGCACTTCCAGGCACCCCTGGGGTCCCTGAGCCCCAGCAGCGCTGCCCGCTACCACGACCTCTACTACCCGGCCACGACCGCGGGGCGCCTGAGTTTGGGGGTCTCGCCCTCCTGCTACGAGTGCAAGCCGCCGGGCTGCCCTGGCCTGCCGGCGCCCGGCGTGGTGCCCATCCTGGGCGCCCACAGCCCCTCGCTCGGCAGCGAGTACTACATCCGCATCGAGGGGCCTGGCGAGGGCAGCGCCGAGCTGGACTACGCCATGTGCGCCTACAGCCCCGCGGGCGAGCGGGGGTCCCCGCACCCCCCGTCCTGCTGGAGAGCCCAAGGCGCCCGGAGCGGCAGCACCTACGACTCTGACAGCAGCCCCACCGTCTCCCTCAGCATGGAGCCGCTGCTGGGCCACACGCCGGTGGGCGAGGGCTCCTGGGAGTGCGCCGAATACTACCCCTACCCCTGCCCAGGGCAGGAGCCGCGGGGCTACGAGCCGTCCCCCAGGCACGGGGCCGAGGGGTACCTGCTGGAGGAGGAGCCCGCCCAGCCGGGCAGCCAGGACTGGCCCATCCCCGACTTCCAGCCCAGCATCTTCGCCGACCCGCTGGGCATCTCGCCATCGGTGAACTGCGCCTACAGCCCCCGGGGTTACGGGGAGCCGCGGGCAGCCCCCCCGGGCGGGCGACCGCCGGGGCAGAGCAGGGCCCGGCCGGACTGCGTGGCGCTGGAGCTGGGTGACAACAGCCCCCCCGGTGCCCCCCGCCCGCACGGCGCGAGCCCCCCGGCTCAGCGGCATCCCTGGGCCTCCAACAGCTCCTCCAACAACAACATCGGCAGCGGCAGCCCGGCGTC